GATCGAAAGTGTTTTGTTCTTTTTATCATTTCTGTTCTGATGTTTCGTGTGTGTTTAGTGAATTTCAGTTTGTGGTCGATTGTAATCCCAAGGTATCTTACGTCGTTTTTCGGTTGTGTTGTGTTATTTTTCCGTCTGCAGCTATTGTGGGGGAGTCAGCGTTGAGTCTGTGGTTCGTGAGCAGAAGTTGATTTTTTGTCGCGTTTAGCGTTAGTCTCCATTTATAAAACCATGTCATTGTGTTATTTGTTAGTGTTTGGAGTCTTTCAGTCGCTTTTTCAGTAGTTTTGTCGTGTACAATAAGTGCCGTGTCGTCAGCGTATTGTAATATGTTCCAAGACTTTGCACAGCACCGGGAGTAATGTGATAGGTCTGTAGTTTTCCATTTGTGTACCGTCTCCATACCGTCCATTTTTAGGTATAGGAATTATTACACCACTTTTCCACGTTTTCGGAATATTATTATTTGTGATGCAGTTGTTGATTTCAGTAAGGATGAGTTTGTGGGTTTCTTGGGTTAAGCTTTTCAGGAGTTTTGCCTTTATTTTGTCTTTTCCCGGTGCTGTGTTTTTGATATGTGATAGGGCTTCATCGTACTCTGTGTCTGTGATTAGTTTGTAAGTATAGTTTGGTGGGTTGTTAAAGTAGTTCAAGTACCAGTCATTGATCATGTTCCAGTTGTCACTGTCGAAGTTAGGGTTTGTCGATATGCGGAACGCCTTTTGATAGTGTCCGGCGAATGCGTCAGGTTTCTTTTTGTCTGTGTAACGTTTTTGTCTGTGTTCTATTCCGTTTTCGTCAATTGTGTCAGTAGTGTTAGTTTTCTTGTATTGTTCTAATTTCTTGATTTTTTGCCCTTGTCTTTTTCTATTTCCTTACATGTTTCTAACCATTTGTCTTGTTGGTATTGTCCAATCAGAGTTTTAATGTTCCTGTTCAGTTGGTTCAGTGTCTTTTTTAGGGCGTTATTTTGGGTGTAAGTGTATAGTCTGTAAAGTTCTCTCTTATCTTTTATGAGTCTCAGTATGAATTTGGGTAGGGTGTGTCGGTAGAAAACATTTTTAATTTAGCGAACATTTTATTATATTTATGCAATTATAAGGTATAAAAACTTGGGATTTACATACGTTTTTTGTCATTATTCTGAAACTAGCTAAACTAGGAGATCTCTAAAAAGTCAAAATTTGTGAACTTTTGACGATAAATAGTATGGGTGTTTACAATGAATCACTGTTTAAGTACTTATGTACACATGTTCCACTTCGACAATTTAATCAGTTTTTGTGATTTATCATGGTCTATTTATCAAATACGGTATTTTGATAAAAACACTATGGTTGCGAGAAAAATAAGATTCATTCATCAAAGAAAACATTCAAGCTGTTAATCTTGAACTTACTTCTTAAATAAACCATCTAAATTTATTTGTATGTTATTCGCAATAGATAACAAGGTAATAGTGATTGTAAATAATTGCTCGAAATATATTCCGATTAATTTAAAATCATATTGGATTTATCTATTTGGGAAAGTATTTTGTAGATGCATTTTGCCGTTATTTCATTACATGTTTACAAAATTTCAAAAATGTAGAATATTTAAGAAAAATTGTTAGGCTATTTTGACCATTGCTTGAAACTGTTTAGTTCGCCTGGAAGAAATTATTTTCCGCGAAGTCCAAGAATTTTATAAGTTTTATATATTGCTTGAAAAAAATATATGAAAAAAAACGGAAAAAGCTTCATTAATGAATTCCTCCCAGATTCTCCAGAAGTCTCCCTGGAATAGTTTTGCGCCAATAGTCACCATTAGAAGTGTAGGATTTCATGCTTCCGGATTTCCTATTATCGCTGAATCATCCTGTATACATTTACTTGCAATTTCAGCTCTTCATGTCCGATTAGTAAATTTTACCGACCAAAAGTCGACATTCAAATGCTCGATTTGTACAATACGTTAACATTTGATAACCCCGACGGCGGAGTTTGGAAACAAGGTTGGAGAATTCAGATTGACGAAAAAGAATGGAATAGACAAAACAAGTTGAAAGTGTTTGTTGTTCCACATTCACACAATGATGCGGGATGGACTCGCACCCTGCTCGAGTACTATTCGACTCAAACCAAACATATTTTGAATAATATGCTGCAAAAACTGCCCGAAGATCCTCGTAGAAAGTTTATTTGGGCCGAAATTTCATTTTTTTCTATGTGGTGGGCTGAATTGGATAATGGTAATAAGGAAGCAGTCAAACGGTAAGAAGCAAGAGGTTTTTCATATAAATTAAGCGTAATTACAATTTATATCTTTTTATATTCTATATTATGTCTATCGGGAAAACATTTCAGTTTATTTTCTACAGATAGTCGATAAGTTTTTCCTTATATTTTAATAAATCTAATTAATAATCCTATAAGTTAAAAAATCCGTTATTGATATGCTGTAATATAAAGTTTAGGAGTAAATGAAACGAAAAATTGTTCAGAGCGTGAAAAGTCGAGAACACAATCACAATCGGCGCAAATCGCGATTAAAAATTATAATTTGGGAAGGAGATTTGCAGCTTTCGAAATGTTAAAAAAACGGCTTCAAAAATATTTAAAATTTTATAACAGACTTCAAAAAATGTGTTTCTCCATCAGAGAGTCTATTCATCTGTAAAATGAATTTTTTAATGTGTTTTGTGCTACTTTGCGCTAGGAACAAATCCCGCAAAATTGCTTTCGGTCAAAATAGGATTTAAAAAAACATTAAGAATTGAAATAGGGTGTTAATTATTTCGAAAATTGCCTGGAATTTTTGGACGAAGTGATTTATCTCTTTTAGCATTCTTTTTCTCTTTTAGCACTCGATCCTAAAAGTGATTTTGTGTCAAAGAAGAGTAGATTCGAATAGAAAACTTTATAATAAAGGGAATTTTACTTTTGTCCAAGTTCACTGTTTTCCAGTTTTTTAATTCCAAGAAAATGTACGGTAATAAACCCTAGATGAATTTGTAGATTGATAAAAAACAATCAGTTGGAAATTGTGACGGGGGGTTGGGTAATGAATGATGAAGCAAGTTCTCATTACATCTCGATAATTCATCAACTGACCGAGGGCCACCAATGGCTAAAAAAACATCTAAACTACACCCCCATTAGCCATTGGTCTATAGACCCTTTCGGTCTGAGTTCCACTCAACCAGCTCTATTGAAAAGTAGCGGACTTCAGAATATGCTCATTCAAAGAGTGCATTATTCAGTGAAGAAACACCTTGCAAAAACCAGAAATCTCGAATTCAGGTGGAGACAATTGTGGGGTAAGTTATATCTAGAAAACCATTGGGGCAAGTATTCGCAAAAATTGTAACTCGAAAAGTACCAGACTTTAACGTTTTCTTTGATGGATCTGTTATTAAGAGGTCTAAGGTCTATTAATGCTAAACAGGATGTTCTATCGAATGGAATGGAGTATTGAGAAAAATATTAATCATATACAGGACGTTCGTGTCTAACTTGGGAAATACCCTTTGGTATATTTTTTGGTCCATTGATGCAACATGATAAGATTACAGTGCGACCTCGCTAAATCGGACTTTCAGTAGACCGGATTCCTTGATAATCCAGAAAATAATTCCAATTGTACCATTCATGTTTAAAGGAAAACTGATCCCGATGATTCACTTAACTAACTAAATGTCATGCCTGGTTTGTTCTTATAGGTTTATGAGCAAAATTAATCCTGGCCCCTTGCCAAAAAATTCCAAAAAAACACTACGTAAATCCGAATGTTCTGAAGTGAAAACTCGTTTCTACTCGTGGTTTTCGAGTACAAGATACATACCGAGTTTTATGAAAATTTCAGTTTTAGAGCGGATTTGCAGTTCAAAAATAATGCATTGTTCTATTTTAAGTGCATTTGCAGAGAAGATAAAAAAATTGGATTTCTCACCTGCCCAAATATACAATGCGGATGAATGTGCTTGGCATTGGAAAATATTCCTCGTAAAAACTCTTAGAAAAAGACTGAACCAGCTAAAAAAAAAGTAAAAAACGCGTTACATTCCTATCATGTAGCGATGTGGCTCACACTGATTAAAATTGCGAATGATTAATGACAAGTAAAAAAATTCCAGTTTGTTTAAAATTAATTGTCCGTTTGTTGAATATAAACCTTTGCAATTTTTGTTCGAAGCTCTTTTATTGGCAAAGTTAAATGCAGTTTAAGAAGTTTTAATTTATCTGAAACGGGCCCCATCGTCGTTAGTGCGACCAGTCATGAAACTAAAAGAATTGACTAGTAAGGATGGACAGTTTACAACATTATTTCTGCCACTTTTTTGCACATTACTTTGCAACTTATGGATCAAAATGTGATTGGATTGAATAAATTATTTTACCGAAGAAGTCCATATTTTAGTTACGTTTTTGAAATCAATCCATTAGCTTGAAGAATTCTAAACCTATGCCTATTATGTAATCCTTGCGAGAAAAACACTGATTAAGAGTCTCAGCCTTTTGAGACATTTGCTACGAAATTAAATATTATTAATGTTCTCACATGTGGAAATCTGGAACTGGATTGAAAACAATAAAGATTTGTTACTACTGAAGAAATAAAACCCTCCGTATTACTTCAGTAATCCAAAAGAAGGCAGTTTTAATAAGTTTCAAAATAAAGTTGGGAAAATCGCCCAAAATCAATTTTTTTCAAATGGAAACCCCCATTTTTGATAATTTTATCTTACTTGACTAACTTGATTAATATTTGAATTTAGAGTCTCCCAAATATCCTCAAATTGACTTTGTGCATGCGTGAATGCCACCAAAAATTAGCGAATTTATGGAATAAATTTGGAATTGGGCGAAAAAAAAATAATTCACGAAATTTTCGTTCATCCGATGTCAGACGAGACGACCCGAACGAAGAATGGGAAACGCCCCGATGCGCAACTTTCGTCGGATTGCGTGGATTCTGACTCCGGCCAATAGGAAGTGGGGTTCCCCGAGGAATTTGACCCCACGTGACCATCGGAGTCTCGAAATGTGTAGTAAAGTAGCGTAAATATTACTGGAATGGAATACCGAAGCTTTTTGTTTTAGCTAAATGGTGGTAGTTTTCGCATGTTGAATGAATTCAAGTGGGGTGTTTGGGTATTTTGAATATTCTCTGACCCAAAATAGACTATTTGAAAATTATTTTGAATTATTGATATAAATTTATCACATTCTCTATAAATAATAAATAAATACGTTTAAATAATCTTCGTTTGTATAATTTAAGCGTCTGGTCATGATTATTAATTATTTTCAAAATGTAATTGACAGATGCAAGTATTCCTTTGCATTTGATTGTATTAAAAATTGGCATTATTGTCATGGCAACATAGAGTGACAGTATTTAAAATAAGATGCGACAAAAGAGTCATATGAAAACATTAAATTGGCAATATTTCGAAAACTAAACACTTTTGGACTAGACAACTTTGCACAAACGTACCTTTTATTTTTAATACTGAATAAGATAAAATTATCAAAAATAGAGGTTTTTATTTAAAAAAATAGATTTTGGGCGGTTTTCTCAACGTCAAATCATTGAAACTTATTTTTTTAACACTGTATTAATAGTTATCAAAATTTTGTCGAAATTCAATTAAAGTAAGTTCTTTTCAACAAGAAATCCGACTCAAATTAAGTAGTCCTAATAGGAAAAATGAATAATTATTCAATTGTCTGCAACTGTAATTTTTTACATAAAATTTCAACTATATCAAAAACGGTTAGACTTAGGTGTAGGAATTATACATGAGATTATATATATATACATATTAATATACAATACAATATATATATATATATATTTATATAAATTTTAATTTATCTGGGAAACATATTAATCGAGTTTCCATTACCTCCTAATTGAGGCATTTCCTCGCACTTATTGCAAGGTGCAATAAATATCAGTTTTGTTTCGTATATATATTTCGATAGCATATGCATATGCAATAAGCAGACACAAATTACAAGATTAATATCATTGGCTTCATTTTAGCTGACTCGGATAATACAGACATTTTTTGCCATCTGATGCCATTCTATGGCTACGATATCCCACATACATGTGGACCTGATCCAAAAGTATGTTGCCAGTTCGATTTTAAGCGATTACCGAACCATGGATTGCAGTGTCCATGGAAAGTCCCCCCTGTAAAAATTACGGATGAAAATGTAGCTGCTAGGTATATTCAATTTTATATTCTTGTTATTTAAAAAACATTTTGAAATATTGCAATTTTCTGTAGCTGAAACAGAATCTAATAGGAATATAAGCATTGATTAATAAATGGTTAAAACCTACTGAACGTTATACATTTTTATCTTGAAATCTAAATAAAAAAATATATTTTTGTTATCGAATATTGTAACTGTTTAATTTGTTATTTTAGGGCTGAATTGCTATTAGACCAATACCGTAAAAAATCGAAATTATACCAAACGAATGTAGTTTTAGCACCACTAGGGGATGATTTCAGATACGACCATATAACAGAATGGGACGTGCAGTACAACAACTATCAAAAATTGTTCGATTATATGAATAAAAAGTTAGATTTACATGTCCAGGTAAGGTACATATATGAAATAGACTGCAAATCCTTTCAGGGCCGGTCAAAGAAAGTATCGGCTGAAGTTTTCCCGACTTATAAGCCGTTACTATTGGACTTCCTTCCCGACGTTTCTCTTTCCTCTACCGATGCTTCAAAACACAACAGTTGAAACAGTTGAAAACCCAGTAATCCAGATGTAAACGAAACATTAGGAAGCAATTTCATTAGCTCACGGCTTATAAGACCGAAAATCTTTTCAATTACATATATATTTTTTGTGGTTTCAGGCTCAGTTTGGGACGCTTTCGGACTATTTTGCGGCAGTTCAAAAAGAAAAAGAACTAACGAAATTTCCGGTGTTATCGGGCGATTTCTTCACATACGCAGATCGAGATGATCATTATTGGAGCGGCTACTACACTTCGAGGCCGTTTTATAAAAGAATGGACAGGGTCCTTCTTAGTTATATTAGGTAATTATTTTTGCGAAAATTCATTGAAGTAATGTTGGTAAGTGATTTTTCACGTAACTGATACACTCTAAAACAAGTAAGGTACGGTAGAATTTCTCCACAACGAACAAGAAAAGGTACATAAAATTCCGAGTTATGTGTATTTGATGACTCAAACTTTTTCTTTATCTTTATGTTGTTTTTGCCTGTACAGTTTCTCATGCCGCCACATAAGGTTTTTGATTAATTGGATAACTTTCGTTTTAAACACTTTATTTCCCAAATTAATAAATTATATTTAGACTGGACGTTATCGTGGATGTGAAACTTTCTTACTAAATAATAGTTACTTTTCTGCTGTAGCTTCTTTTACAGTTAAATTATGCTGGTCGTCCTAAGTGACCATATAATTCTATCCAAAACATTAGCCTTATCAATTGTTATGGATTTTTCCATCTCATCACGTTGAAATATAAAAAATTCCTAATGTAACTATTGGTATATTCGGTGATGAAAATACTGACCATTTGTTTGTCCTCAAGAACAAGACAGTTTTTCGTGTTTTGTGTTGAATTTTTCTATTAATTCTTGTTGTGGTAGCAGGTGACGGTAAGTTGTCGTCCTGGGAGATTCTTTAACATGACGAAAGTTCTTACTTTCCTATAACAAATTTTTCCGTTTTTTCCGCATAGGTTTGCACTGAATAATGGCTTTGTTCAGTTTGGCGCTTGTCCCGCCGATGTATTTTTAATGCAAAAAGTAAAAGTTTTGTTTCGTCGGCATTGGAAACATTAGTTGATGAATAAGTATCAATAATTTATTTTTTTCATTTACAAGCTCATCATTGTCGACTTCAATGCCGATTTTCCAGAAATTATTATCAATTTTATATTTTGTTTTGAGCAGAATGTATCCAACCATTTCCCGGATGATTTAAAGTGAAGGTTGAGATCTTGTGAAACTTCGAAAGCGTTTTATTTTATTATTGTTCCCGACGCAATATTCTTGCCTCTCTTTTTAGATCTATGTAGTATTCATTACATAACTTTCTGAGTTCTTCTGGATTTTTTAATTTAAAACGTTGCTCACTTCAGACTTACTGATTTTAAAATCTTGGCCAGAACTCGAGACATTATTATGGCTCTTTGGATACACAACCCGAATGGTTTTCATAAAAATATAAGCTGGCGGGAAAGGCAACTTGATGCAAGAAACAACGTTTCATACACCTGCTTCCATTGCGCTTCAAACGAAGCTAGGTCGCAATTTGCGGGCCTTTGTTAATGAATGAGACTATAAAAAATGTCCCTTTTGTCGAACTTTGTTGTTTAGAGATGTCCGTTCACAGAAGTTTCACTCTACAAACAAAAAGTATTGACTTTTTCAATATTTTCGTCAACATTTTCAGTCAAGTTTGGTGGTCATTATTTTAGGGCTGCGGAAACAATAGAGGCATTAACTTATCATAGTGGCAAACGGATGTCTTGGGATAACAAAGAAGCAACTGGCCTGGGACATTTTTTGGTCAGTTCCAGACAGGAGCTTTCTTTATTTCAACATCATGATGGCATTACTGGAACGGCCAAAGATCATGTTATGGTTGACTATGGCAAGAGGTAGGTACTTCACCAGAAATACTTGAAAAACTGATGTGAATTTACGCATTTTTAGGATGCTGCTGGCCATTCACGATTGTCAACGCATAATCCAGCATTGCGTGAACGTGCTTTTAGAAGGGCCTGGTTCTCAACAATCGCTTAAAGACGATGTGACCCATTACAATTTTGACGATGTATGGCATTCTCACAATACCTTGCCGGAAAAGATGCAGATTACAATCGGTGTACCTGATTTGCCCTCTAAGAAGATAGTGATTTATAATTCCTTGGCGTTTGCAAGACATGAAGTAGTTACTTTTAACATTAACACGCAGTTCATTGAGGTAAGCGACTATGTTTTGCAATGAAATTTGCCATATTTTACTTTTGTGCCTCTTGATTAAGACATTGGAAGCTTGGATTGAAGTAACGGTCTTGTGAAAACCACATAGAATTAACATTAAATCTTGTTGTTTGCTTTTCTGCAAACCCTGATAAATCTGAGGATTGTATGCCCGATGCGATGTATGTTTACAACTTATAGCAATCAACTTATTTGATTTTCTATAAATCAAATAAACATAAAATGTTCTAATCTTTATGATATGGGATATTTTAAGCCGCATTATATCAGACTATTAATGTAATACGATTGGGATTTGTAGGTAATTGATTTTCAAGGCAAAAGAATAACTTGTCAGGTATCGCCGATATTTGAGTACGGTTCGACTATGTCTACGACAAAGTATGAAATATCCTTTATTGCAAGCATTCCGGCTTTCGGCACTGTGAGCTACACAATTAACAGTGTTTATCAGGAAAATCTACCACAGTAGGTGTTTTCTTTGGTGGTGTTAAGAACAATAAAAAACATACACCTGATTTCAGAGAAACCTCATTTGCTGATGTTAAAATATACAATCAATATGGAGATGTGACCGCCCTGAGAGGTTTCAAGGTAAATGTAAGCGAAAGAGCTGAAGAATTTACCTTTCAAAATGCCCGGATTGTGGCATCGTTTAACAAGTTAGGGCTATTGAAGGCAGTGAAAATTGGTTCGTCCATAGTTCCGGTACATCTAGATTTTGCCAAGTAAGTAATCAATCGCGAGCAAAGTAATATCTAAATCGTTCTTTTTTCGAAATAGATTTTAGATAACAATGGACAATTCTATTATAGTCTTGAGCATACAAAGATTAAAACCTGCGTTTGAAAAAAAATTGTTGTCGAGTTTATATGTGTTTGAATTATACGAAATTACTATTTTATGTTTATGTTTTCAAGGAGGCAACGACATTTTGCTTACAACCAGAGCTTTAAAAAAGTCTTACTGATTATTCAGATATGTTTGAACGTTTCCGAGATAAACAGTTTTGAATTGCAGTTTCAAAGTTAAATTTTAATAAACCAATGCATTTCTTGGGTAGCGCCATTGAAAACGGTATTTTGATTAATCCGATAGCCTCATAATTTTTTTTTACTTTGATAAATTTGAGTTTTTTGATAAGAAATTTAAAGAAATGTTCTTTCAAAAGGAGTGTTTTGTTCAGAGGTTTTCGATCAGTAGCGGATTTGGTTTCAATCCGACGTTCCGTTATCGCGCTCTAGCACTTTTGCGAGCTTTTCTAAGAAAAATATTAGCAAACAACAACAAGAAGAAGGAACAKATTTAATCGCATAAAACGATGTGATCTGGTTCAAACAAATTGAAARCAAGAAGGAAACATATTTCATTGTTGCAAGGCATATTTTTTTAYYCTTTTTCCAAAAATACAGAAATTTTTAAAATTATCACAAARTCAAAATTTAATTGTTAATATATGTTTAGAAGATTATTTTATTTACATTCATTTTTTTTAAGATACGGGGTCGCTGCTAGACCAGTAGATAGGAGCGGGGCATATTTGTTTCTCCCAGACGGAGAAGCTTCTGAGCTTAAAATCGAAAACACAGTCGTGAATGTCGTTGAAGGACCAGTCATTTCCAGTCTTACCGTTCAATTGCCTTATGTCCTTCATAAGGCTACATTGTATAATTCGCCAGGTACTTAAGTATTTATATAATTTTTATAATAATATAAAGTGTGTCATTTCATATTATGAAAATATTTAGTCGAGTTTGAGAACACGTGTGTTCACTTGCAACATTCTTATAATTGAAGATAAGAAATATTTTCAATTAGTATGCTAACTACACTTCACAGTAAGATTAAAGCCAATATGAGTAATATTGAGTCATTTGACGATCACAAGTATAGAATGTTGATATTTATCACTTACGATGGCGAAGAGAAGCTGCTTGAAACATAACTCTAAAACAAAACTTTAATAATGAATCACGATGATAGAAAAATAAAATCTCTATTATTAATTTACCACGTAAACTTTCACGATTACTGGCGATTTAACGATCATATAATATTATCAGTTTTATTTATTTGTAAACCGATAAGTCATCGTTATTTTTTACACCGGTTGTTTGTTCTGTTGTCCTTGCATTTCGATATGTTTATTATTGAAAGTATGTTTTGTTAAATTAATTTATAGTTTTTACATAAATCACCGCAGGTAAAAATGAGTAATTTTGTTTAGTCAAGCTAAGAGCTCACTTTGCCCGTGTATCGAATCAAAAGCAATTAGCTTTGTGAATTCTGTCAAGACTAATATTCAATAGTCAATAACTAATATTCAATGAAATAAATTAGTTCATTTTTAGCAGCTTGTAGAAATAAACCAACATTGCAAGGTTTCCAGCTTCTAAATTCAATGTTATTGCTTATACTTCCCAATTCCATGTTAATTCCAGACAGCAACAATTAAATTTAACAAAATTGCGAAAATCTTAGTACTAATAATTGAAACAATTATTCGACGGGGTCGTTTTGCGTTGGATGAATTAAAATGTGTGTTGAATGTCGCATTCTGACCGAATTTTATGAAACTTTCAACATCTGTAGAGTCAAGTATTTTCTAAAGGGAATGACAATTTGAAATTTCCACCTGCTTTAGTTTGGAAGGTGCGATTTTTTAAGATCCATATTTACCAAGCTGGCAAAAATCTGGATTCTGGGAAATTTTTTATGAAATTTGCAGCATCTTTAGAGTCAAGTGCCTTCTAAAGATGGTGAAACTTTCAAATAGCTGCTTGGATTATTTATGAAGATGCGAATTAAAAAAAGCGCAGTTGGGAAAGATCATATTTTCTGAGACTGATATTAACTAAGCTGGCAAAAATCAAGATTCTGGGCGATTTTTCTAAGCTTTGAGCCCCTTTAGAGTCAAGTGTCTTCTAAACATGGTGAAACTTTTAATTGCTTTTTGCTTTAGTTTGAAAGATGCAAATTTTTAAGAGCGAGCGCAGATGAGTGGAAGCTTCCGATTTGAGATCGATATTTACTAAGCTGGCAAAAATCAGGATTCTAGACGATTTTCATAAAACTTTCAGCATCTTTAGATTCAAGTGTCTCCTAAAGGTGGGGATAATTTCAAATTCCTACATGTCTTAGTTTTGAAAATTGAAGGTTTTGAGCAACCTTTGTGTATTATTTATATAAGATAAAAAACGGAAATAGCAAATCGCGTTTTACGTTAGAGTAATAATTTATTATCCCAGGTGCTGATGGTTTAAGTGTTGAACTTACAAATACAGTAGACATAGAAGAAACTAATAACTTTGAGCTCGTTATGCGAATGGCCACCAATATTGATAGCAAAGATGAATTCTTTACAGACGCCAACGGTTATCAGGTAATAGATTTATATGCAAACTGTGGCTAACTAAATTTAGTGTTCTTTTCCTTAGTAACTAATGTCTGCAAACTTATTGCCTTTGAAACATTGACACTTTTTTAGCTGGTTAAACGTCGCCGATTTAAAAAGCTGCCCCTACAAGCAAATTACTACCCAATGCCAACGAAAGCTTATATTGAAGATAAAGATACGCGTCTAACGGTTCTTAGTAGTTCGCCATTAGGTTGCAGTTCTTTGACCGGAGGCGAAATTGAAATAATGTTGGATAGGCGATTGAATCAGGACGACAATCTTGGACTTGGACAAGCTGTTTTAGATAATCACCCTACAAAGCATATATTTCGGGTTCTCGTAGAGAAAAGGCCTCCAGGTTGCGAAGTAAGATTTTCTCACCAAATTTATAGCTCAAGGTATACTGAAAGTAAATTATCCAATTTTCTAGACAAGCGTTTCCGACCATCCATCCGGATTTCCGACAGTTTCAGCTAGTGTTGCTTCTGAGTCTCTGTTAAATCCACTATTTAAACTAATAAAAATGAAAGACGATGAAGAAAATAAAGTGGAGTTTTACGCGCCTAATTTCCAATTAGGCGTTGATTTGTTAATTCCCACGTTCAAGACAAATGTCTTTATGAAAGGAACTTACCACACTGGACTAGTTTTACATAGACAATTTTTGGATACCTGCTTTTTGGATGAAGCTTTAATTAAAGACTTTCCATTAAGTGAGGGAAAGGTGAGGATTTACCGATTATTGACCGACAACAACCTAAAGACCCAATTGATTTGTTGGTTCTAGGTCAACTTGAGAGGGCTGTTTCCGCATCAGCAAAGCACTAGTTTATACCAAGCAACATTATCATTTCTAAAAACTGAAAAAATTCTACACGTTGACGACGATATAAGCTTATGTCCAATGGAAATGAAAGCATTTTACATTTAAAAAACCATTAGTGATGTTAGACGCGAATTAATTTCGAATAATTACTCTATGATGTTAATGTTCGATTTTTATTACAGCTCTGAGATGGTTAGAAACTCCAATATTTCAGTTGCAGCCAATTTAGTTTTTACTGGCCAGTTACAAACTTTACGTCCTTTTCATTATTCGTCAAATAAGTATTATTGGATGTAGCAAAAACCGAACATTAAATAAAAATTAATAGACGGTTGTATGTGATACATATGGAGATTTTATCCTTAGCATCAAATTATGATCTTAGTAGTTATTATTATCACCGAAAACGACAGCAAACTATTCTAGTACCGATTGCAAATTTGGAATATTTCTATTTATTTATATTTATGTTGTGACTATGTGATATTATTTTATTTTGCAGGGTTTTTTTAGTATGATCATGAATTCATACATACATTTTGATTATTGAATTCACCGTCATTGGATTTCCAAAAGCTGTATAGCTAAAAATATCTAAATATAGATATAAAGTATTTTTAAATAAATACTCCACACTTGAGTTTGTTATTTTTCGTATCGCTAAGTAAAGTGTCTTCTAATACGGTTAGCGCTTCCTACATTTTAGTTTACAATTATATTTTAATAAAATATACAATAACGTGCCTCAACAAAACAATATATAATTAGGAAATATGCATTTGTGTTGTTATTCAGTCAATTTTTAAGTGTTTTCTGCTAATATCAGATATCCACAGGTCACAAATTTTTGCGTAGGTACACAAATTCGGCTCAGTCCAAAGAAGATAGTATTTGTTTAATTAGTTTTATAAATATGCACAATTATATTTTGTGTCACGGAATGATCTGGTAGACTTTTAACGGTTAACTTGGATTTCAAGCAGACTACGGCTAGTGTTGCAATTCTAAGCAGTATTTCACTGGCAATTTTAGTTTTTAGTCTCACCCTTCTGATATTTATACGGAATAACGTGCACTTAAGCGAATATACAATAATGAATGGTCACATAGTATCTTGTTATCAGATAGATGTTTTGGCGAGCGTCAAAAAGATATTCAGGTATATTTTACACTCAGTTCACAAAATGTAAAATTTTAAAGCTAGTTTTACATGTTAGTGGTTGTCTTAATTTTATTACAATTGTTGTCACTTATTTCTATATTGTATGCTATTTGTAAATATTAGGATGGGATTAAAGGTTTTTACACAAATACGCAGTTTTCTTTTCTATTTGAAGTTGTGCTGTATATGCACATTTACTCATAATCAACCAAATTTATCATTCGCAATGGAGGTTAATCGCTCCAGTTTAAAGGTATTTATTAAAAAAACTTACTTTATTCCGCTGTTCTGATGTGAAAAATTTGAATTTTGGAAGCTTTTTCTTTTGGGCTTCACACAAAGTTATCACAACTACCTATCTACCTACCTACCGTGGATAGCAACAGAAACTGCCGGAATGTTTCGTTGAAATTTCATAAATGTTGCTTTACACATATTTGCAAAAAGGTAAAAAGTTGATAAGCAATAGGCGTATACAGAATGCCATAGGCGGGTACTAATTCATGTGACGTTTATTTGGTATTAAATAATTACATTAATTTTTGTTGTATATACTTTCCTGACTGTGTTTCAATTCCAAATCAAAAATTAATTCCTGGGTTTCAGTCATTTATTGTCTTTATTTATCAATTAAAATACGTTTCGGTGTATTTTTCCACCATCATCAGTTTTTTTGTGTAGCGTTGTTGCTGCTTTAAGCCTTGGCATACATTTTTAACGTATTAAATTACAACGTATTAAGTTACAAAATTTCAACTAAGTAACATTTACTTAGTCAAGTGTATTATAAAGATGCATGCAAAATTGCAGCAAACATTCAGCATATTTAGAGTCAAGTCTCTCCTACAGATAGTGAAAACTTGAAGTTGCTGCTTGCTTTTGTTTAGAAGACGCGAATTTTTAAAGGAGAGCTGAGTAGGAGGATCCGTTTTAAGCCTGACCTAAGCTGCCAAAAATCAGGATTCTGGACGATTTTGATGAAACTTTCAGAATCTTTACAGCCAAGTCTCTACTAAAGACACTTTAAACTTTAAATTGCTACTGGCTCTAGATAGGAACCTCCGATTAAAAGATGGCATAACGGCGACGCTCAATCATATATCACGGTAAACGTACATTTATTTTTCATACAACAATTATGTATTTGTATTTTTATAAAATAGTACTAAATATTACTGTTTTTAAGAATTTTCTTAATGATTTACATAACAGTATTAATTATTTTTCGTGAATGATAAAGTGAACGATGCATTTTTACGATCTTTTGGTATGGTTGGTTAAATGCATTTGAGTTTCATTTAATTTCAACTTAGTTCATAAACATATAACCTGTTGTTGTACACCGATTCAAATGAGTTACATTGAAATCTAAATGTGTAAAACTTCCATTTATACTTGTATAAGTAGCTTCTATGATACTTATCGTTTCAGGAGTTTTTTAGTAATTAATTCCAATACTTCATCGTCAGTTATAACTTCTAAAAAATCAACTACTTCCTTCGCATCTGGCGTTTTGTCAGCATTGCGATTAATTTGGCGATTAGATTTAAATCTCGAGGACTGACTCTTCCAAAACGACTTTAATTCAGCATCGTTTAAAACTGGAATTTTACACACATTGTCATATTTGTCTAGGGCCAGTTCTAAATTATTTTTGTCATTTGGTTGTGTTGCTGTTACTACTGTGGCTTCCTTACACTTTTTGGCTTCCTTACACCTTTCAACTGATAATTTTATAACTTTCAACGCAGTTTTGATATTCGCCAAGTCCTACAAGAACAATTAAAGTTATATTTTATTTAAGTTGTAATAGAAATAATTAAAACTAAAATTTATAAAGCTTATACTAATTTTTGCCTTCTTCGAAAATTAGTTGCATTATTGCAAAGTAACTGAATACTTCATGAATTATTTAATTACAATTATTTCTTACTTCCGTCATATTTGGGTTGAGAATGTTTTGCTGAGAAATATCTATATTTTGCAACATATTTCCAACCAATATTGATGCGATTCCTTCCTTAATTCTTTGACAGTCGTCTTGCGGCTGGACAAAAAATACCAATTTTGTATGTTACAGGTGCAATCAAATGCATTAAATAAATCTTGCAAAAAACACACTACACACCAGTGGTAGCCATATGTTTACAGCTATAGCAGTTTCCAGGTTTTCCACATAATGCCACCATTTATTTGGCACTATTAATACATCTCCTGGATTAAGAATGACTTTGCGACAATTAGAAATATCTGCAAATAAGCTCACTAAAAATTGAAAACTGCAATTAGATTAGGTTGTTTTACCTTTGAGATCCTCCATTTTTGGACTGAAAAAGTTTACTTTTGAGTAAATACTTGATTCCTCAAAAGGTATTCTTGTTGGCTTCAGGTTTTGCTCTGGAGGAAACAGTAACCATTGTTTCCTATAATAAGAAGGATTAACGTTTTTCACTAACTAAGCCTGTTTTCTATTTTAGCAAAAGCTGCAGGAACAAATCTTATAAACATTCACCTGCACAAGATTCGTTTTCACAATACAAGGCTTCTGAGTTTAAAAAAAACTGTAATAATCTCAAAGAATAAAATGTTGCAATCTGTATCTCCGAAGAGACCCAGATGTTAAAACCCACCTTCATATACACTTTTTGATTTTTTGGTGAAGAAAGTCTCGTTTAGATTGCAATTTTAACTGTAGCCTAAGAAATTCAGGTTGTAAAAAACTGTTAACTCACACATTTACCTTCCGAAAACTTGTAATACCACATTACATCCATAAGTATCAACATGACAAGGAGTATGGGCTCCTTTTGAACCAATCCATATTGTTGAATCTTTATAACTTAATTCAGGAAATCCCAGTGGGGACCAGTCTATTTTCTAAAAGATCATACACGATAACACACACTCAATTTGGTTTATTTGTATTTTCAAAAAATTGTCTAACAAACTCTCGTCATTATCGTTTTTATACCTGCTTTCGATTTAGAGCAGTACATTTTTTATACACAAGTCGAGCCCTTGTACAAAATTAATAGATTTGGGATATTAAAAAAAAATAGTAGAAAGTTGCCGGCAAGTTAAAAAAATGTGTTGATTTTAATACTCATACAGCAACAAATTCTCTATTAAATAAAGTTAACAGAAACAGTTCACAAATTTTTCAAAAAATACGTGATGCTTACTTTATCAGAAAATGTCCCATAGCAGGTAAATCAAAAGCTAACGTTATAAAAATTGTATAAAATTTATCAAAAAACTGGAAAGATTGTAATGAGAGGGTGGAATTCCGAAGACCTACTTAACGGATTAACTAAATTTATTATTCTTTTCATATCGGTTTTCGGTTTTACGAAAACAACTTTCTAATTTTTCTAGTTATCTTTCACGTTATAAAATTGTAGAGAAACGTTTCCAATAAACTGAAAAGGTGTTAATTTAATACCTACTGTGATTCTACGAATCTTTATCTATCCACTGATGCTATTGCCATTTCTATATTTGTTTTTGATTTCGAGCAAAACATTTATCAAAATATCGCGGGAGTAGTCAAAAATAAATGGTTTCGGGACTTGAATTTAAAAATTGTCATAAATTTCGTCACTCTTTTAGCAAATATTATATTGGAAAATGGAGTTAACAACGCAGTTTCCAATTTCAATTGACAAATGTAAACAAGTGTGTTTAAAAAATTACATAAAATTTCCAGAAACCGTGGAAATTGCCTAAATTAATTTACACTTTCATCAAGCAGCAATTTCTCTATTAAATAGAGTTAACAACAAATTTCCATCTATTTCCAATTTCTACACACGATTTAAAAAAAATGACGCGCTGTTTTCTAGCGAATGCCGTTTAGCGAACAACTCACAGTCGCGCGCTATGAAAATCGTGGAAAATTTACCAAGAAAGTGAATTGTGATTCTATAGATCTTTACCTATTGAACGTCTCTATTGTAATTTCTATTTCAGTTCTCGATTTCCAGTAATAAATTGCTGAAAAGATCGCGACAGAACTGGATGATAAAATATGTTGAATAAAATCGCCAACGCCAATATTTTATGAAAACGATATAAATTTTTAAATTCCCACTGTCATCAAGTAACAGTTTCTCTATTTAATGAAGAAAACATCAATTTCCTATCCATATGCAATTTCGACGCCCTTTTTTTTGTACGCCGAGAATTATTGATCTACACTATTTAATTTAAATGTGTGAAGTTAAATCCTTGAAGAAGAAAAAATCCCAATATCCATTATCTCAAATGCATGATATACATATGAAACAAAAAAAAATAACTAATAAACTCACTTCTTTAAAATTGTCGTTCTCATTAAACCATTCGAACATATATTTATAATCAAAATACCACCATTCAGTTTCGTTGGAATTAATATTATTTAAAAAATCTTGTAACGTTGCAGACTTAACTACAGTTTTTGACTCCCATTGCGGTTCCTAAAAAATGATGAATAATATTAATAACTTTGTTCACTAATAGGTAGCGGACTTTCGACAAAAATACATAGATTTTCTTATGGCTTTATTTTCAGGGCTAAAAAGAAAATACGAACTGGTAAAAAACAAGTGTTTATGGTATTTTAATATTTAACAAATATAAGGAAATTTAAACTGAACAGTTTTAATACATCAAATTAAAAACTAAATAATTACAAAAACCAATTCTCCTATGGACTTACCTCTGTATATTCATTTTTTCCACATCGAAACTTCAGCAATTTAGTATCTAATTCATTTTTCCAGTCCTGGAGACTCCATGATATTAACTTACATTTCATTTGGTTCGTTATCAATAATGGCTCCTTGGTATTTAAGATCATTTGCTTCATATTCGTATTCTTCAGTTTCCTTTAATGAAAAAAATAAACGGAATTTTTAGGAATTGAACATTTCTTTTTCGAAACACCCTTTTAGATAGATATCTATTATGTTTAAGCAACCCATTTATATTGTATGTGTGTATCTATTTGTTCTAACTGTATTAGAGCAGAATATATATCTTTACTCAGTTTAATCTGATCCGTGTAGTGTAGTAGAGTTTCAGCGTGGTTTAGTTCAGGTGAATCCTAAAAGTCCAAATTAGAAAGTAATAAGAAACAACCAATTGTAACAAACTTATTATTTCTTCATGATCACATATTTATGTATTAAAGTGTATAAAAGTTCCATGTATACCTATCTACTATAAAATTTGAAGATGAAAAAAAGTGAACCTTAGGCCATCATATGAATTTA